CGAACAGGAATCGCTCGGTCACTAGTTACCCATATTACGGTAAGGGTTAAGATAAAATAAATGTATACCACTAAAAAATTATTGACTTATAATATATGTAGTATTTCTTATATAACACTAATCAATCTAATTAATCAACAGAATAAAAGATACAATTAATGTTTTCATATAAAGTAAGCTTGATCTGTTCGTTTACTTGGGTAAATCAAAAACAAAGAAAGTTGAAAAGCTGACAAAATACAACCCATAAAATTTGGTATTTGTATAAATTGATCACTGAGCAGACATCCGTACGCAAACCATTGGCAAGATACTACCATAGAAGACATTATGACTGGAAATGGTAAACTGTCTGTGCTTTTCATTCTAATCACATGTGCCTATAACAAATTTGTAGTTATTTATTATCAATGCATAAATAATTGTAAAGGAGGTGAATAAGACCGTTTTTGTGCTCTCTATGAATTTCCATTAGACAATTTTTTTGTATTGTACGATCACTAGGAATGCGAAAAATATTCATTACATGAGACAAAAATTCGATCCGTAAATCCTTAATTAATTATTAATCTAGAAATAGCACTATGATATGTAAGTCCTTTTCATAACTAATAAATGAATTAATAAAATATTTTCGTTTTTATATTGTACAGTTCGCGCAATTAATGCCTTCCAACCCTGTTTTGTTATGCGTGTTACTTTTTCAGTTATTTTTGCGTTCATGGGCGAAATATGCGAGTTTCTCCAATTTCTATAGGCTTGTTTAGTCCATTCGACTATGGCCGTGAATGTGAAAACGACCGAAGAAAGTAAACGCGATGCCTCACCAGTGAACATGGTGTCATATGTCTGTATTCATAGTTAAACCCTAAATATTTAAGGCTTCCTTAAATTTATCTTTAGATGCTCAGTAGCCAATAAAATAATTCGTAGAGCATCTAAAGATAATATTTAAGGAAGCCTTAAATATAAGGCCTGACTATGAATTCGAGTAATAGATTTGGAAGGCATTAATTGCGCGAACTGTACATTGTATTTTATTTTTTTGTTTTTGGTTTTTGTGTGTTGCAATTTTTTTAAAACTGAAAATCACATCATTACATATAAGTACCCCCCATATGTCAAGTGTAATAAAAAAATTTATTTTTTCACAATGAGCTGTATTCATTTTAGGAGACGATAGTCTAAAATGACATTAATATGATAGCAGAGCAGTATAAAATGAACAAAAATATTTTATTAATTCACTTATTAGTTATGAAAAGGGCTTAGGCATCACAAGGCGATATCACAGTCCGTTCTTATTTCAAGACTGCCTTAAGTAATGTCTTAAGACGCTAATACGGCCCTCTGATTGGTTAGTGACTTCTTAAGACTGTACTTAGGAAAGGTCTTGAATATAAGATCTGACTATGAATACCGGCCATAGTGATATATATAATTAATAATTAGGGCTTTATGGATCAAATTTTTTCTCATATAATGATTATTTTTAACATTCTTAATAATTATACAATAAAAAAAAATTGTATGATGTAAGTCTGTAGGAGGCATAAAAACATATAGGACCATAAAAGAAAACAAGGGCAAAAAGGAACAAGACTGAATTTGTACTAATTTGTAACATTGAAAGTAAGTTAATATTTAAAATTTTTTTCCTTAAAGTGACTTTATTAGTATATACTTACGATCTATATGTTAGTGACTTCACAGCAGAACCGATGTGAATTAATTCAACACTCAACTTACAAAAATTTTTAACACGCAATAAATTAGTTTGGTTTGTACTCGTTTGTCTCATCGTTCTTTTCGTTTTTAGATTAAAATATTCAAAATTAAATTTTGAAAAAATATTATTACCTTTGTTTGAGACATTACTGTTTCCAAGAAAGAGAAATGCCTCTAATTCAGCATCACTTGTGCCTGTTTGTATTATTTTTTAAATTTCGTTTATATCTTTAAGAGGGTAATTAATAATTAGTTATACTGAAATTTTAAAATAGAGGTAAAGTTAACTTCGTTATTTCTGAAGATATTTTTAATCTGCAATAGGTTTGAAATTTCAGTGCTATTTCAAATTGGAACGAGTACAAACGGTTCCGAAACAGCACCTTGCAGGTTTAAAATATTTTAAAGTAGGGTGCTAGGATTGTTTCCTTTATATTTTTGAACTCCTTAAGGTACAAACGAAAAGAAAATTGGTTACAAATTTAGTTCAATTTAATGCTCATTAAAAAATTTTTTTTTTCTTAAAGTTGAGTGCCAGGCACATAGGTTTTGTTGTGAGGTCACGAGCATGTAGATTAAAAGTATATACTTATAAAGTCATTTTAAGGAGAAAAAAGAATATAAAATATTAACCCTTACTGTACCAATATGGGTAACTAGTGACCGAGCGATTTCTGTTCGTGCAAGTTTCTTTGAGTCTTTCGGTAATTATAAATTATACTACATTTTATTATTTTTCAAAATAAAGAGTCAATATTTATTCTAGAAAGTTGAAAGTATGTTGAAAGTATGTTGATGAATTTTTAGAGATTTTTTGAATTATTTTGAAAAAATGAAGAGATTCTAGTGACCCTTGGTGGTATGGATGAGGCACCAAATTGTACAGGGTACGGTAAGGGTTAACTTACTTTCAATGGTACAAATTAGTATAAATTCAGTTTTGTTCATTTTTGCTCTTGTGTGTGTGTTTTTTTATGATCTTATAGCAGTTTAAATATTACATAAGCTAGCAGCGCCACT